CCGGCGCCGTGGAGCTGGGCGAGCGCGAGCTGCCGCGCCGCGTGCACTGCCTGCCGCTGCCAGGTGCGTCCGGACCATCGCCCCGCTCGTACGACAGGACCCTCGTCCCGCTCGTATGACAGGACCCTCGTCCCGCTCGTACGGCAGGACCCTCGTCCCGCTCGTACGGCAGGACCCTCGTCCCGCTTGTACGGCAGGACCCTCGCCCCGCTCGTGCCGCGGGACCCTCGCCCCGCTCGTGCCGCGGGACCCTCGCCCCGCTCGTGCGGTGGGACCCTCTCCCCGCTGGCGCGGCTGCCGGGCTCCCGACTAATATGCCGTTGTACAGGTCCTTTCCTGCCGTGTGTGGATTTGTTCGACTGGTGGACGCTGCGTTGCGGCGTGTGGGCCGTATTCCTGCTGGCCCTGCTCGGCAACGGCACCGTGGTTTTCGTACTCGTCTGCAGCCGCAGTCGCATCGATGTGCCGCGGTTCCTGGTCACCAACCTCGCCGCTGCCGACTTCTTCATGGGCATCTACCTGGGTGAGAGTCCTTGCATAGATATCTAACAAGAAACAGAATGTACATACATAGTTCTACTACTGATATTCTCGTAACGGCCTGTGATGTGACAGGGTTCCTGGCAGTAGTAGACGCGGGCACGCTGGGCGAGTTCCGCGCACACGCCATCGCCTGGCAGATGTCGGGCGGGTGCAAGCTGGCCGGCTTCCTGGGCGTGCTGTCGTCCGAGCTGTCGGTGTTCACGCTGGCTGTCATCACGTTGGAGCGCAACTACGCCATCACGCACGCCATGCACCTCAACAAGCGCCTGTCCCTGCGACACGCCGCGGCCGTCATGGCGGCCGGCTGGGCCTTCTCTCTCACTGCCGCCACGCTGCCACTGCTGGGCGTGTCCGATTACCGCAAGTTTGCGGTGTGCTTGCCCTTCGAGACGTCCACTCCCGTGGCACTAGGCTACGTGGTGACGCTGCTCGTCATCAACGGCGTGGCCTTCCTGGTGCTGCTGGGCTGCTATCTCAAGATGTACTGCGCCATTCGCGGCTCTCAGGCCTGGAATTCCAACGACTCCAGAATCGCCAAGCGTATGGCGTTACTCGTCTTCACAGACTTCTTGTGCTGGTCACCCATTGCCTTCTTCGCGCTCACAGCGGCTTTCGGCGCGCAACTTGTGTCTCTGGAGGAAGCCAAGGTGTTCACGGTGTTCGTGCTACCGCTCAATTCTTGCTGCAATCCATTCTTGTACGCCATACTCACCAAGCAGTTCAAGAAGGACTGTGCACTCGTGTGCAAAGCCATCGAGGAGTCTCGCGTGACGCGCGGCATCGGGCGCTGCCGGCACTCGTCCAACTTTAGCAACCGCCAGACCCCGGCCAACACCAACAGCCTGGCCGAGCGCTCGTCGCGCGGCCAGCACGGCGCCACCTGCGCCTGCCGCCGCCTGCTGCCCGGCGCCGAGCGCGCGCGCGCCCCCGCGCCCCGCGAGC